AAAAAATAAACTCAACTGTACTTTATAAACATTTAACGTGTCAATTCCCCAGAGCAGTCTTGCAAGGCAGGTAAACAATGAGAAGAAGAAGAACATAAAGTACCGGCTATGCGTTTGAATGTCACCAGGAGGGTAAGGAGTTTTAAAGGCCCTGTGACTGTAACTGAGTTTCTGTTTAGAACAAACCAAGTCCAGCACTGATAAAGAGACTCCGCTGCCCATTCATTAACTTGTCTACAGAAAGCCCCAAGATTACATTGGCTGAAATCCAATAGTAAGTCACAACTAGAGTAAGTCCTCTGAATCAGTGGGAATCTGATGAGTTATCTCCTCCGTAAATTCCCTGTATCCATGAGCCTGCACTACTTCCAACTTAGAGCCTGATCCAGCTGATGAATTGTTTAGGAAGAGAGAGAGACCTTCTTTTCCGCCCCCATTTTGTTGAAAGATCATGTGACTTTTGAGTTGATGTGTGTAATCGCCACTGCTGCTGAAGGGAAAAGGGGTGGAAATGGAAAGAGGTGGAAAGGACTAGAAAGGGAAAGGGGGGGCAAGGAGTCAGGGTGGGAGTAGCAGTGGCATGGGGGCAGGTAACTGAGGGGAATAGAAGATGGGAATGATCTGGAAGAGGTGAGGAGAAGTTAGTTGAGGGAGGGGAGGAAGATGGTGGGCTGAAAGAAGAGGGAAAGAAGGCTAGGCTTGGCTGGCTGGCGGCTGGAAATCAGCTTCATTTCGCATGGCTCTGGCTTTTTCAGCAAGTGACCACAATGCTTTAAAAAACAAAAATCCTGTTATTTGGTATAGTGCTGTATCTGACAGCAGGAGTTTTTTTTTAATTGCATGGATAGGGATTCCACTTTTTCCAGTAAATGGATTCCATGTCTGCCTCAAAATAAGTAAACCTCTGGCAGAGGAGTAGAAAAACTTACTCCTCTGTCACATTGCTTTGCACATGCACCTAGCTCATGTAAACATCCAAATTTAAGTCGATGTAAAACATGTTGACGTGTTTTTATGGGACGTGGTGGCGCTGCGGGTTAAACCGCAGAAGCCTCTGTGCTGCAAGGTCAGAAGACCTGCAATCGTAAGATCGAATCTACGCGATGGAGTGAGCTCTCGTCACTTGTCCCAGCTCCCGCCAAACCTAGCGGTTTGAAAGCATGCAAAATGCAAGTAGATAAATAGGTACCACCACGGTGGGAAGGTAATGGCATTCCATGTCTAGTCGCACTGGCCACGTGACCACGGAAGATTGTCTTCGGACAAACACTAGCTCTATGGGTTGGAAACGGGGATGAGCCCCCTAGAGTCTGACATGACTGGACAAATTGTCAAGGGGAACCTTTACCTTTACCTAAAACATGATGAACTCAATTTAAATAGTGGTGGGTTCTTTTGTTTGTTTGTTTTTTACTCATGGAGCAGACTCTTAACAGTAGATTTCAGTCACTATCTCAAAAGGGAGAATGGGGGAAAAATCAGATTTTAGTCAAGAGAGATGCAACATGATGAAACAGCCTGTCCAATTGTAAGTCAGAAGTAGAGTGGGACCATTTGAATCAATGGAATTTATGGAGCAAAGAATTTCAGCCTTTATGTTTAACCACTTCACAGCTCAATGATCTTGACTTTGATCCTTCCAAACTGGAATAAGACAAGGAACAGAGACTGGCAACTGAAATAGTAAGGGATGTATTTGTGGTTCTTATTGTCACAGACAGTCACTGTAAAGTAGCAGTACCTTTTCATAGAATGGTTTGCGATCTATGTTCCAATACATCAAGAAACAGAAACAGAGAAGGCATACTGTGTGACATAAGAAATGCCACCCTCAAAAACTTGCAAAGCAGCAGACAGCAGGCCTGCCTGAGGTGATGTTCCTGAGACAATGACAGAGGTAGCTAGTGGCGGTCCATTAACAGGTCCACTGGGAAGAGGTTATCCACAAATGGCAGTCCTATGAGATGGCTCAACGTTAAGGCCAAATAAGATGAGATCATTACCAGCACGTATTTCTGTTAATGTTATTTCAGAAACATGTGTTCCATTTCGTTTTTACGGCAGTGTTTAACCAGACAGAAGTATGGCCTAAGCCACAGCAAGCTGGTTGCTTGACATCCATTTCTGAGCACTGTCTCAGTATGTTAGTCTATCAACTTGATTATGCCATTACAAATCTCTTTTCTCCTCTTTTAAGCAGCTTCCCAGATACAGGATTTTCCACTGAAGAGGTTCCTGTATAGAGCAAGCTTCTTATGTGCATCAGTTTGTTGTGAGGAAGCTTGATAGCTTTTGCTGAAGTGCTAAAATGTGCCACATTAAACTCACTAAAGAGATTTTCGTCAGAACACATTTTTTCAAACATATTCTTCCTTTTAACAAATTTGAAAGTATATTATTTATTCATCACAACAATGGCATCCTAGGGGACATATCCCTTCTCACTATTCTCTCTTTCTAGTGAGTTACACACTCCCCAGGTTTTGACACTCACATATAAAGTCCTTCACCATTTGGGGCCACATTACCTGATGGAGGATCTTTACCCAATATCATCTCCCTAACCCACCAAGTCTCCTAAGGCCAGGCCCCACTAGGAAGCCACCCCGAGAGAGGTCCAAAGGTTATCTACTAGAGGTAAGGCCTTCTCTGTGGTGGCACCGAGGCTATAGAATCAAGTTCCAGAGGAGTTATGCCTGGCCCCCTCCCTGTATTCTTCAAGGAGACAGCTGAAAACACTACTTTTCAGGGAGGCTTTTCAACATGACCCCAGTTGAGTATTTTCCTCCGGTTCCACTGTTCTGTGATAATTTATTGGTGCCACTGTTTTTTTTATATGCTTTCTTACATTATTGCTAGGAAAGCATTGTGATAATTTATTGGTGCCACTGTTTTTTGAAAGCATATAAAAAAAGTGGCACCAATAAATTATCACAGAACAGGAAAACACTCAACTTTTTATGCTTTCTTACATTATTGACCAATAAATTATCACAGAACAGTGGAACCAGAGGAAAACACTCAATTTTTTATGCTTTCTTACATTATTGCTAAGGACATGGTGGCGCTGCAGGCTAAACCGCAGAAGCCTGTGCTGCAGGGTCAGAAGACCAGCAGTCGTAAGATTAAATCCACGCGATGGAGTGAGCTCCCGTCGCTTGTCCCAGCTCCCGCCAACCTAGCGGTTTGAAAGCATGCAAATGCAAGTAGATAAATAGGGACCACCTCAGTGGGAAGGTAACAGCATTCCGTGTCTAAGTCGCACTGGCCATGTGACCACAGAAGATTGTCTTCAGCCAAAACGCTGGCTCTATGGCTTGGAAACGGGGATGAGCACCGCCCCCTAGAGTCGAACACGACTGGACAAAAATTGTCAAGGGGAACCTTTACCTTTACATTATTCCTATTTGTGTTATATTAAATTGTCAAAGGGAATCTTTACCTTTACATTATTGCTATTTGTGTTATATGTTAGTGCTTACTGTGGAATTCTGGTTTAATCTTTTGTATACCACCAAGAAAAGTGCTTTAGGATCATTATAGGTAACAAACAAACAAATGCAAGACACCACTCTGGAACCTTTACTTTAAAACCTAACCACCTCTTCTTTGTGCAACTAAATTAGGCTTTGGCTCAAAAGACAACCATGTCCAAACCTGTCCAGAGTGTCTGGGGTTGCCCCTTTACTGTCCCAACAAGCCTAAGCCTTCAAGTACCAAGTAGGATTAGTACTATTTAGCTCTTAAGAGAAAAGGTGTTATTGCAAGCTTTGTCTTATTATTCAAGTCTTGGTTTTATGTTGCCTGAGCTGCCTGTTACACTCTCTGGTTTCCTCGGACTTTACACACTATTTGGCTGTTACACTCTCTGGTTTCCTCGGACTTCACTCTACACACTATTTCTTTAGTTCCTTTCTCCTCAGTAACTCATATCAGCACTCAGTCTATGCATATATAAATCATCCTCATGTCCACAGCTATCACTATACTTATGAGCACATATATGCAAGTGTGCAAGTGTCCAGAATGGCAGAATCGCCAGAACATCTGAAATATTTAAGGGCAAAATCTGATATGGTAGCTTGCACAGAAGTGGAAACCACTATAAGTTAGATCCACTTTGGCATAACAAAACAAAAAACAAAAAACAAACAAAAGAAATAAAACAGGAATGCTACTATAAATGTTCACAGGCTATTTTATATGAATCAGAACTTTATATTTTCTCCTGAAAAGTTATGATCACAGTTCATTATTTACTAATAACTTGTAAATCATTAATTTGGAAGGTATACAGATTATATAGACCTTTAAACTCAAGGTGAAATATAAACAATGGTGTAAGCAACAACATAAAGGGAGAGAAAAATGCCTATTGTACTGAATCTCTCACCACCTAACCATGCATTAAAACCTTGACTAGGGGAAATGGGAGGAAAAGGTTAAGTACTGTGGCAACATTTACAAAGAGGAAGAAAAGAAGAAAGGCAACAACAGTTATCACTTGTTGACATTACCTTGACTAGGGGAAATGGGAGGAAAAGGCTAAGTACTGTGGCAACATTTACAAAGAAGAGTAAGAAGAGACGAAGAAAGGCAACAACAGTCATCACTTGTTGACATTAAAAAATCCTTTCAAAAACCACTGAGTCACCACCTTCTGGACCAGAAGGATTCTCTCATATGTGTAAAAATAATAAAATAAAATGCCTACATTTGACGATTTGTCCTATTAAGTGTTTTGGAGAAAAATGGTTTGATTACCAGTAATAGCAGCATTACGAACAATGCTACGCAAGACACTAGAATCTGGAGAAAATTATCTCATGCAGGACAATTGCTGGAGAAAATCTGAACCATTAAGCTGCTAAATATATTATCCACTCTTCATTTTCTTTTCTTGAAAAGTAACTTTACCACTCACTTCTAGTGCACTTGGCAAATTTCCTCCTTAAAAAAAAACCCCATATTAGAAAAAAGAGTGTTTTTGCTTCCCTTACCAGAACGGCAATGATGTTGTTCTTCCAGGAACTCCAAGTCAAGCATGAGGTCATCTTCATCCAGGTCACAGGAGCCCAGGTTATTCAAAACATCCTGCAGTACAGCAAAAAAAGAACATATTTGTGTTGGAATAAATGTGAGTTGGGAGTGGAGAATGTGCTTAAACACCATTCAGTGTGCAGAGATGTTCCAAGCCACAGAAAATGAACAAGACAACATAAATAGATTACAGCATTGCCCGCTGCTAAATGGTAGCTGCAATTATCCTGCATCTTGACCAAACAATATGCAAAATTCTTGAATTGACAGATTATTAAAATGCAGAAAGAGCCATCATAGATCAGAAATGAAGACCATCTTCTGTTCCTCCTCATTTCTATAGTAGCCCCACTATATCTATTACCTAGTTCACATTCCATACCTTTGATGGATTCACATCTAGATCCTGAACAACACACTAGGCTTGTGTCTGGCTAGGATCTTGTGGTTTAAGGGTTTAAGGATTCCACCTGTGCATTCTGCCATACCTAGTGAGAGATGTGCTACCTCCACAGCAGCAGTGGCAGCAACTGGGGATGATTTGCCTGACAGACTAATTGGTGAAAAGTGCCAATCATGAAAAATAAAGTTGGTTTTCGGGATGTGCCCATAATTTGAAACATTACATCCCTGCACCCATATTGTAGCTTTTTGCCTACAAGAAGTAAAAGAGGAAGAGCCATTTGGGGGGATGGGGATGAGACACACTATTGGCAACCCTAACGGAGCAATACAAACCACAAGGATTCAAAATATGAGACTGGAAAGTTTTCAAAAATAATTGGTTATAGTTCTAAGTCCTCTGTTTTAATCAGTTACTGTCAACGTTCCCTTTATGCTGCACGGGTCTACAGCCACACAGAGCTGCATTGGGGAGGGGTTTGCATAGCCAAGCCAGTGTTGCTGTCCATTTGCTTCCAATTTCATCCAGAACCCTATGCTGTATCAGAGGGAACATTGGTCACTGTTAAGAGCTGCATTTTTAATAATTATTTTCCTCATTCCCAAAACTAATTAAACATTATGTTTGTTTTGTTTCATTTCTATGCTGCCTTTCCGCCAGCAAGGAGGCCTAAGGCAGCTCACAATGATTAAGATGTCAGGCTAAAGCCACCATAAATAACAGAATTTTTAAAAAAATTGAGCATATCATAATAATTTAAAAGATGATTGAAATATTTGAAAACTTTAAAAATACATTTCAAAAGATTTATAAAGATTATAAAAGATGATTTGGAGAATTGTGGGGAATAGCTTTGTATTTACTATTTGTAATATGGTCGATTGTCTTTTCATTCTTTAGAAATCATTTTTTTTAAAAAAAGGAATACCTGCATAATAAATTCTATGCCTGAGTCTACTTGCCAAAAAAAGAGAGAAATTATAAACCCAGAATCCAAGAGGGCCATGTGGCACAGTGGTTAAATTGCAGTCCTGCAGCCAAGAATCTGCTCCCAATCTGAGTTCCATCCCAACAGGTTCAGTTGAAGGCTCAGCCTCCCGTCCTTCTGTGGTTAGTAAACTGAGTACTCAAGTCGCTGCTGGGATAATGTGTAGCCTGCATAATTGAAAACTATGAACTGCCCAGAGTTTTCTTTAAGTATTATGGGGCAGTATATAGCCAATACAATTTACTTTATTAAAAGCTTGCCTCAAAAGGCAGACCTTTAAGTTTCACCAAAGTACAGTATCAAAGGATAAAAGGGGAAGGGGGGTTAAATCTAACTTCCCAAAGGAGGGTATTCTGTAATGTGGGAGAAGGTCCTCTTTCATGTCCCTGTCAAACGTACCTGTAATGACGATGAGACTGAAAGAAGGGTCTCTCCTGAAGCCTTCAGGGGCCAATAAGGCTCATATGTGTATCCGTTTTATAAGTCATAAGCAGCACTATGAACTGGGCCTAGAAATGGACTAGTAGCCAGTACACCTATTGTAGCAGGGAAGTTGTATGCTTCCTGTAACTGATCCGATCTGGGTTGCTGCATTTTGAATCAGCTGAAGTCATTCAACGAGCACATTACAGTAATCCAAGCAGGGTGGAACCAAAGCACGGGGCACTGTACCCAAATCAGATGATCATTCTGAGATTGCCATTTCAAAAATGTATTTTTTTTTTTGCAAAATTTACAAAGTTATGTATAAATCTTGAGATAATTCTTATCAAAACGCAAACCAATCCAAATTATCCAATCCAAATTATCCCTGATACTCAGAAATTAACTTTGACTTGGGTTAACCTCCCAAAATATATAATCTGGAAAACATAAGAGGTCATATCTGATTCATGTTTGGCATGGTTACATGTGTCTCCATCGATCAGTTATTATGAGCCATGAAACTACTTAGAATCCAGATGTGTCCTCATTCACCACAGTTAACCAAGCAAACACTCCTTTCTTCCAAAACCTTTGTAACTCCTTTTTCTTTTCTTTAAATTTGCTGCTGTCAAGCAAATCTACAGAGGGTTACAACATGATTTCTATTTTCCTCTGCTTTAAAAAAATGCATACATGAGACTGCTTACAATGCTTTTATTCAAAGTTTTCTCATTAAACACTTAGAAGAAAAAGGGTGTTAAGTTAGGAGGAAAGGAAAGGAAAAGAAATTTCTCATCAGTGTTTCCAAGAACTGCTAACAGCTGAATGCTGACTTGCCTTTTCTCTTTCTTTTTTGCCCCCTGAAAGGCTTAATCACTGCTTGCAGAGAAATGCTTTACCAAAATGTTTAATAAAACTCTCCATTGACTTTACAATAGCCCCTTAGAAACTTTCAAACACAGCTTTTCTCTTCCCAGTGTATTCTCTGGCTGTACACCCACTGAATTTAACCTCTCCCGTGCATGCAAAACAAAACTTTGCCCTCTCTGCTCAAATTGGGATGCTCTCTGAACATCACAGTGTAGGTCACCTTTTCACATACCAATAATGGTCAAATGAAGACACACTATATTTACTGCAGCCATTCTTAGGGTAGCCAGGTCTCAGAACTCCAGCTACCATTAGAATTGCTATGCATCTCCAAGCAAGCAAAGGCTCTGTCGTTGTCTCTGTGTAAGGGAGAGATGTACAGTATTTACATCCTGGATGCCCATTTCCACACATTCCCAGCAAGCTCAGCACAAATGTATTTGTATCAGTGTTGTGTTTCTGCAACATGGATGTATTAAAGAGCCTGAGGTGAGGAGACTGGACTGGCGAGGGAGATGGTGGGTGCATGTACCTGGACCCATGCTGTCATTTGGAAAGGGAGTACAGCATCATTGTCGTGACTTGTTGTGAGCCCTTCTCTTCCACAAGCAAACACAGGCATTATTTTGCCATTGTTACACAAGGGACCACCAGCTGTGATATCAAAATGCACGTCTCTAGAATATCAAAGGTCTTCCCTCTGCCAGGTCTCTGGTGTTTTCTTTGAAATCTCAGGGAAAGGGAAGCTGATGACCAGGTAACCCAAGCCTTTGTTTCAGAAACCATGGCACATGCTTGTTTCTGTCTCCTCAGAATATAGAGTTTGAATGTAGTTGAAGAATGCTTATTCACTGCCTGCTTCAGATGGGAAATCCTTCCCCACTCCTAAAGTTCTGGGTTATGGATTTAAGGGCTCCATTTAAATCATTCATTTTTTTTACTATCCAGCTATTTTTAAGCAATTAACCACAACTTCCCATTAGTGTCTCTTTTCCATTTTCATCTCTGGTAAGAATATAACAGAATATTACCATGAATAGGATATTTCTAGACACCCAAATTGAGTTCCTTATAAAGAAATCACCTCTACATGGAATAAATTTGAAGCAAATGTAGACCTTTTTAAAAATGTAGACTTTTGGAATAGCCTTCCTCTGGAGATTCGCGAGGCCCCTACGCTGGGTTCTTTTAAAAACCAACTGAAAACATGGGTGTACATCCAGGCCTTCCCTCCTGTCAACATTTGACTCCTTTCTCTTCTTTGCTACTTATTATTCACTGTACAGTATTTCTGTACTGTATCTGTTATTGTTGGTATTGTAATGTTCTTGTGCAATTTTAATGTATATATGTTTTGCTGTAAGCCGCCCAGAGTGGTAGAATATATCGTATTTTCCCTTCATAAGACGCACTTTTCCCCCCCAAAAAAGTGAGTAAGCCGCCCAGAGTGGTAGAATATACCGTATTTTCCCTCCATAAGACGCACTTTCCCCCCCCCAAAAAAGTGAGGGGGGGAGAATGTGCATCTTATGGAGCGAATACAGTAAAAAAGGGTTCAGCCACCACCACCCAGAAGCCTCCCACTGCCATTCTGGGAGGCCTCTGAACTGGCACCAGAGACCGCTTGCTATTTGGACCTCACCATTCTGCACTGCTGGCTTTCCAGGATCTGCTTCCTGCACCCCACCGGAAAACCAGCAAGGCTAACAGGCTTATGGCAGCAGGCAGTGAAAACAGCCAAGGACCAAAGGGGAAAGAGTAATTCTAGAAAGACCAGGGGAGACCACAAACCACCTCTGAGTATTCTCTACCTGGAAAACCCTGAAAAGGGTCAGCATGACTAAGAATTAGCTTGATGGCAAATGGTGATGATTCAAGTTATTTTCTGTTGCAGGAAGACAATGGTGGGCAGATTAAACAAGCTAAGTGAGGATGAAAACCAGAGGCTTAAAGTGTTTCAACTAAATGTATTACAGAATAAACATGTGAGTTTGCTTATCTGTCAGCAGGAGAAGAAAACTAAATCCCTCTTCATCCTTTAGGGCTGTTTTCGAAGAATGAGGAGACACTTACAAGAGGAATATCCATGCACCACAGGATTCCTCACCCTCAGTGTGAGAGTGAGACAAGGAATGGGTTCCTTTTCTCCCTTCAAAGGTCTCTGGGGGAGCCCATGCAAAGGTTACATCTTTCCCTGTGAGAAAAAAGTGCATCCACACACAGAGAGTACAAGCAGAGAAGGATTTGTTTATAAACTGATCATTAAAAAAGATGCAAAGAACCCATCTGATGCTTCAGATAGCTCAGTGGTTTAGGTATCTGGCTGAGGAGCCAGAGGTTGGGAGTTCAATTCATCACAGTGTCACC